CGGGAAATGGATGATTGCACCTTCAGCCTGAGAGAGGAACTGAATGTAGATGAAACCATAAAGGGAGGAAAAGAGAGGGTGATGAAAAAGGGAGCTTGGGAGACTGAAAAAAAGCGAAAGGGGGTTACACGAAGGAGGGGAAATCATTATGCTATCCTTGCAGCAGAAAGAAAATGAGCGACTGAAGGGGAAGCACAAAGAAAGAGATACCACACAATGCTGTGTTTCTGCATGCAGGGCTGAGGCGAGCTGCTGGTCCCCAGTGAGTCTCGCTAAAAATAAACCTGGGAGGAGAGGAGAGGAGAGGATTCCTCCCTCTATCTATCTGCACCTTTCTCCTTTGTCTCTCCTCATTCTCTCCCACTGCAGGTGTATGTGTTGAATTGTTACAGACAGCTGTTGTGGCGCAATGTTTGTTTTCAACAGCTCCGCATTGAGGTAAAACAGACTAATAACTAAATCTCTTCAGTCAACATCATGCATTTTCCGCTCTGCCAGGTTTGCTGCGCAAACTAATAAAAACTAGAAAAGCAATTCCTCCCAAAAAATGCACCTCTAGACATACAGTTTATCATAATCATCCATCACTGCAGTTAGACAGGAGAGGGCCCAGCCAGTGTGGGATCTCTCATTCAAATGAGGGATTCTCCTGATTGCCATTTTCTATTTGCAGCTGTCACCCTTTATTTGTTTACGCACACAGGCAGTGGCAGAAAATCTCCATCCTGCTGTCAGTAGTCCCGCAAAAACAAGACTTTCATCTTGGTGTTTTAATGTCTGCGATGTCTGGGATGTAACACATCTCCTGTGAGCAGACTACAGCATGTGATTGAAAAGAGACTTGGAATTACAGTAGGAAACGTGAACATAACATTTATGCAACATAATATGCAGAATATGACTATGTGTAGGAAGAAATGGATGGAAGGATGCGTGTATATGTTTTGAATAAATATCAGTGAAATAAAAACTATATGACAAGCATATTGTATCAGTATTACTTGTTGTTCAGTGTCCCTTTCTCTCTGTCTGTTTTCTTCCCAGCTGTTTCCATCATGCGCCACAGTGCTTCAGCTTTTGGATTTGCTGTAAGTTGACTGTAAAGCCTCCACGTCACTAACGCTACGATGGCTAACGCTGTATGCTGTGGTAAAGAGAATATTAAACATATGTTTTTTGTTTTCACTCTGCAGTTCGATGCCATGCTGGATGTGTTGTCCTCTGTAATTGTATTGTGGCGGTACAGCAACGCAGCAGCTGTCCACTCAGCGCACCGCGAATACATGTAAGTACAGTCACCTGGTTTATAATCAATACGGAAATTCTATAACTTTAAGAGCATTAAAACCACTAAAATGCTAAATAGTAATGATGATAATAGATATGATGGCTTGTACAAAGGCTGCTAAAACATCCCCGTGGTGTTCTGAACACCTACCGTGTAATGCAGGTCTTTCTCTGGAAGATTATTTGCATTTAACTGTCTCAGAATAGGGCCACGGTTAGCTCTGCTGGTAGACTGCGCGCCCCATGTACCAGGCTGGGCCCTTATCCTGTGCCCTCTCGCTCGCTCCCTCATTTCCTGTCTCTCTCCACCTGCCCTATCAGAAATAAAGGCAAAAACGCCCCCAAAAATCTTTTTATATAAACTGTCTCAGAATAAATGATAGCCGCACAAATTAGGCTGGTCAAATATGATGTATTTATACTGCTCATTTGTGGTTAGTTTTTAACTCTATGTTCAGGCAGAACTAGTGTTGATTTGACAGCTTTGTTTCTGTGTATTAACTGTGTAGTACATTTTTTTAATAATAGAAGACTACTTGCAGACACCCTGCAGTTGTTTTGGCTTGCTCAGATGGTTTGATTCCATCTATGAATCCCAAACAAACCCAGAGAAGTGATGAAATCCATTTCAAATGTATCCACAGTGCCTGTTACAGTTAGCTCAAAAGGGGAGCCTAGCGCAGAGGCAGGTGAAGTTAACAGATTTATTGAATAAATAAGATACGTTGAAGATGGGCTGAGGAGACCAGATGGCTGGTTGTGGTAGAGGGTTGAGAAGGAATGGCGAACGGCAAGGCGATGTGGCCGGTGGAGGTAGTGGGGAAGAGTTGGTTAGCAGGCAGGGAGGCAAACAAGCAGGGAGAAGGCACAATGGAAAGGCAGTTAGTGACAGGCTGGAAATCAAGATGAAAAACAATCACAAAGAGAGAGAACACGAGAAACTAGACTAAGCTAGACTACCGCTGAGCTGAGGCAATGATCTGGCCACGAGTAGTAGAGGAGCGGCAGGAGGGAAACACGGAGAAACACATGGGAACAGTAGTGAGGCACAGCCGTGATAGGGTCTGATGTATGTGTGGCCTTTGTCCTGTGAAGGAGTATGTCTAACAGCAGGTCTCTTCAGCCCTGTCAGCCTCGTCCCGATGGGACCGATCACAGACAGGTGCCTAACGTCTTATCTGTACCTGGCTGATAATGGTGTGTGTGTGTGTGTGTGTGTGTGTGGAGGTCAGGTGGGCTTTTCAGAGCCTGTTGAATAGTCAGGGTGCTGGCAGCAACCAGGCAACTGAAAGAGAGTGAAAGAAAAGAAAACAGAGTGTAACGCAGTATTTTAGTCCTGTGCTGTTCTGTTAAGATGAGTCCTAACATTACCAGAAACAATACACAGCAAATGAAATTCAACCAAAACATAAAGCATATGTTACTGAATGAATCAGGTAAATGAAAGTGTCAATATCTGTTACTGTCAGAGCATCTGGTAGATTCATATAGTGAATCTGTCAGTCCCAACACACCCAGAGGAGTGAATGCTAATTGCTGTAGAGACGACAGATGAGATAATATCCTCTGGAAATAAGCAAACAATACAATATGGTAGCATTTCCTTTAGAAAATAAAAACATTACTACATATTTTACGTTAGTTACTGGTCACAGCAGAGTAAAGAGTGTGATGAACTGTGAGAGGGTGAACTTTATTGCTTATGAATTCAAATTTAATTTGAGCGAGTGACTTTGAGAGACAACAAACGCTGGTTTCAGAACCAGTCAGAATCTGAAGGGCTCACTTTCTTATTCTCTTGTCAGCAGCAGGGTAATTAGATTAACAGCTGTTGATGCCTTCAATCAAATCAGCTTTTTGATAGATATATGGGAGTGTTAAATCTTCACATTAAAGCATTCACACAGAGTCACTTTTTATCAGCAGCCTTCATGATGTCACTCAGGCAGCAAATTGGAGAATTTGGATATATAAATATATAACAACATAGATATATTTATGTATAAATGTTCTGAGACACACGGAAAAGCAAGAATTGCCTGCAAGCAACTATAACACCCACACGCTCATGGTTGCACAAGTCTACAAGTACTTAAATAGACACATACCATATGTAGGTACACACAAACACGTACATGAACTAACACATCTACTGTAGCATGTTTTTTTGTACGTTTTTTAGACGGCTAGCGGCTTTCAGCAGACTGAGTGAGAAAACTACTGCCACACAACCAGAGAATCTTCTTAATTTTTTTTTATCTGTATGTGTTTGACGGCTGAGTAGCGATGCCCAGGTACAGCCCGGTTGCCAGGGTAACAAGCGAGATATCAAGTGAGATATCAAAACAAGATGAATTAGGGAGTTTTTAATCACAAATGAAACATGGAGCCTTTTCGAAACAAAAACACCTTTTTTCACATCACTTAGGCAAAGGTTAGAATGAGATACAGCTGCGATGTTATCCATCTGTGATATGAATGAATGTGATGTATTGAAAAAGAAGTGGTATTTTGCTTTAAAACTGTTGCTGGTCTTTTTGCTGTTGTGTTGTTGTTGTTTTACTTGTGGAGCCAACAGCAGCGCAGAGATATGATCATCTTTATATCCACTGTGCAAGAAACAACAGGGGGGTCATAAGTGGGGATTGAGAGCTCCCTTGGTGTGTGTGTGTGTGTGTGTGTGTGTGTGTGTGTGTGTGTGTGTGTGTGTGTGTGTGTGGACTTCCTAGAGTGATGTTGGGTGTTGCCTTGGTTACCTCATCCGGTCAAAACCCAGGACACCAAGTGTGGCTCGAGAGCAACCTTCAGAATTGAACACACACTGGTAGCCATGCGCGACCAGGGCATATGCTCCAATTGTTTTGCATCTCCCTCCGGACTTGGTTAATTGGGTAAAGGACATCTGCTGCTTCCAAATAAGTCTTCGCTCTGCACATCAGTGTAACACAGTTATCGGTCATTCAGGATCATTTTAGGTTCACAGGAAAATGCTGCTTTAGCTAACTCTTTTACATTTGTGGTTAAACAAACAAAATGTAACAAGATTAAGAGTCGACAGCCATGATAGCGGCTCTGTGAGGCTCTACTTACAGATACAGCGGCGCTTTGAACTAAATGCTAATGCAGGCAACATGCTAACATGCTGACAAAGACAATGCCAAAATGCATATGTTTATTGCGTATAATGTTTTTACATCTTAGTTTAGTGTGGTAATAATAATAGCTATACACACACACACATATATATATAGCGCTTTAAAAGGTACTGAAAGGCACTTTACGTGGTAAAAGACAAAACAAGATCAGCATAAAAACCACAATAACTACTTGAGATAACTATTTAAAAGACAGAAATAAAATGACAAAACAGGTTGAAAGCAGCTTTAAACAGATGGGTTTTTAGTGCAGTTTTGGTACTTGGGGCGAATGAGAGGGGAAAGGAGGTTGGCGTCTATGTGGATCTGAGGTTGTGGGTGGTTGTATGACTGTGTAGGTGGTCAAAGAGGTAGTAGGGGTCAAGGTTATTCAGAGTTCTGAAGGTGATGAGGAGGATTTTAAACTGGATTCTGTGTTGGATAGGGAGCATGCTAATATTTGCTAAGTAGGACTAAACACAAAGCATAGCTGTCACCTTATTACAGTTTATCCTGAGGGGGAACATGGATAAGTGTACCATATTTCATGGTATTCCAATAAATAGTAAACAGACAAACAAAATAAAAAAACGCAAACACCAACCTTATAAGGGAGCTAAAAGAAAAGTCTGGGTATCACCAAAGTCAGTAGGTTTCATCCCCTGGGGGAACATGAATGTGTGTACAACATTTAATGGCAGTCAGTCAAAGTCTGGACTAAGTGGTGGATCAACATTGCCGTCCCTAGAA